TCTCCCTTATTTTTGTTTTTACCAAATAATTTCCTGAAGATCATAGTAAATATAATAATATATTCTCCATGTTTTTAGAATTATTTCCTTGACACTCGCCAAAGTAATGCATAGCTCAGGTTCAGTGATTATATTATACCGACTTTGTAAATTCTTCAGATAGTTACTTTTCTCTTTCTTTCCTTCTTTCTTTTTTTTTTTCTTATAATCTTCTAGCCCTCCTAAGTAGATAAAATGTCTGTTCAGGCTGCTAAAAAAAATTACCATAAACCAGGTGAGAAATAAACGTTTGTTTATTTCTCACAGTGCTGGGCATTGGGAAGTCCAAGATCAAGGTGCTGACAGATTCAGTGTTTGGCAAGGGCCCACTCCTCATAGATAGTGGCTAATCACTGTTCTCATATGGTGAAAGGGACAAGGCTGCTTTCTGTAGCCTTTTTTATAAGGGCACTAATCCCACTCATGATGGCTCAGCTCTTATGACCTAATCACCTTCTAAAGGCCCCAGCTGTTAATGTTGTGAATCAAAAATATCTGAGACATGTGTTAATTGATTTTGAAAGTTTATTTTGCCCAAGTTAAGGATGTGCCCATAACACAACCTCAGGAAGTCCTAGTAACATGTGCCCAAGTTGGTTGAGGTACAGTTTACTTTTAGACGTTTTAGACAGACATAAGGAATTAGCCAATATGTGTCAGATATACATTGGTTCAGTCCATAAAGTCAGGATGACTCAATGGGGAGCAGGGAATAATGGGACTCCAGATCAGGGGTAGATAAGAGACAAACAGTTGCATTCTTTTGAGTCTTTGATCATCCTTTCACTGATATCCAACTTACACGTGAGAGATAAGTAGAAGAATAGTCACTTATAGTTCAGTTTGGCTCAGTAAATCTGCAATTTCACATTAAAAATAGGGCAGAGGAAGCAACCAAATATGCATTTGTCACAGGTGAGCAGAGAGATGTCTTAGAGTTCTGTCCTTTGTCCCACACCTATGAAGATAAGCTATAAATTTACATTGCCAGTGTGAAATTCAACAGAACTGATTTAGGATAAAAATATTGAGACCCACAAGGAATTTCCTAGTGGGTAAATTGTGAGGAAGGAATATAGACTTTTTAAATCTTTGTAGCTATCTTACTTAGAAATAAAATCAGAGACAAGTTTCCCTGATGCAACTCCCAACCTGACTTTTTCCTTTTGGCTTAGTGATTTGAGAGTCCTGAGCTTTATTTTCCTTTCATGATACTATTACAATGAGTATTAGATTTCAACATAGGAAATTTTGTGAGGACACAAACTCATTGTGCCCTCATTTTGTGAGGACACATCTCATTCAGATGTGAGAACAAGTATTTGAGTTTTTCCATTAGTTATCCATAGCTCTGAATCTCTTTATGTCTGTTAACTCTTCATCTATCCGTTTTACATTTTGAGTGGTATCTTAACCTACCCTGCTACTTCACTCCTCTATTTGTCAGTTGTGTGCACATTCAACAATAATTTTTGTTTTTGAGACTACAATCAGATTCTTTTTTATACTGTTTTTTTTTTTTTTTTTTTTTTTTTTTTTTTTGCCTGTGTAATACAATAGTTATTTTGTGGGAATTCATTCAGGGTGGTGGCAAAAATATAAAGGAAAAAATAGTAGAGGAAGTTATAAAATATCGTCTCAAGCCCTTTTGGAAGGCCTAATTTTTTTTCATAGTTTCAGTAAAAGTTTCAGCTGAAGGCAGCCTAAATTCCCTTTACGTATAGCTAATTTAAAATAAAAAAGCCAATAGCTAGATTATGCTGGGAAATTTTATTTAAATAACTTGTTTACTCATGTGTTCTTAAAACTAACCTTTAAGCCAGATGGCCTTCTCAGGAGGAGGCCAACCAGGGATATTACTCACTAACGGTGTTTGTTTTGGGCATTGAAACCTATGCTTTAATCTTTTAAACTCTAGTGATGTTAAATCAAGCCTTTGTCAATTAAACTTTACTAAATAAATGTGAATTTCACTGGCTAGTGAGGGCTAGCAGCTTCTATTTGTTCCCACTCTGAATGTCAGGGTCATTATTAAGCTGCTCTGCTGAGAACAGGAATATGTAAGTCTAGGGAACCAAAGGCCACGGACCTCAATAATAGGAACCAGCTGGGGTTTCAGATCACCAGTTGCTGTATCATCTGGAGTTACTTAATCCTTAGTCTTGACCTAGACATCTTAATATGGAAACACTGAATTGCAAACAAACAATTACATTAGAGAAAGACTTAAAAGAGAAACTGAATGAACAGATTCCTGCATTTGAAAAGATAATGTGAAACTTAATTTATATTCATTTTTTCCCTCAGAACAGAATGGGTGAGACTACAAACATTCTAAAAGGTGTGAGGTGCTATCTAATTGTGGTTTTAATTTGCATTTCCCTAAATGATTGGTGATATTGAGCATTTTTTCTTTTTCTATATCATTTGGCCATTTGTATTTCCTCTTTTGAGAAAGGTCTATTCAGGTGCTTTGCCCATTTTCTAATCAGGTTATTTGTTTTCTTGCTTTTGAGTTGTTTGAGTTTTTTATATAGTTTGAATATTAACCCCTTGTTGAATGTGTAGTTGGGGGCCAAAGTAAAACTTCTTTCCCCCTCTGAAGTTTTGCTAAAAATCAACTGACAGAAGGCAGACTTATAGGACAAATGACATAAATCTATTACCATGCATGGAGAGAATCACAGAGTGATCACCCCACCATGCAATGGATATAGATGGTTGTATACACTTGATCTTAAGGGAAAGGGAGATGGGAAAGTGTGGATAATTTTGGGGTGATAGTAAATAATTTGAGGAGAATTTAATGGGGTGAAGATCATACAAATGGCCTGGTATTGGGCTTGCAGAGCAGACAACGGTTTGTGACAAAAATCTATCCATGTGTGTTAAGAGACTTCCGTCTTTTTTCCTACAATATGACTTTAGTTAATGAAAACACATGGAAGGCACCAGAAGTACTGTTTTCTTATTTGGAGAGTCCGAATTTAAGGCAGGTAAAGGAACTTCGGAAACCAACTTCCTTCTGTGCTTTGGGAAGGACAGAGGATTGAGAAACAGGGGTTGAGGAGGAGGTCAGAGAGACCTTGAGGCTTCATCAGTTCTGCCTGTCAAATCACTATATTTTAGGGTATCCATTTCTGAGCCTGAACAGTAGTTAGGAAATATCTTCTCCCAAACTGTAGGTTTTCTCTTTACTCTGTTGTTTCCTTTGCTGTGAAGAATTTTTTTTTGTTTTTTGCAATTTTATTTGTACATTTTCACTGTTGTTGCATCTGCTTTTGAGGTCAAATCCAAAAAATTATTGCCCAGACCAACAGTGTGGACCTTTTGCCGTTTTCTCTTAGTCATTATACAGTTTAAGTTTTTAATCGATTTTCAGTTGGTTTTTACATATGGTGTGAAATAAGTGTCCAATTTTATTCTTCTGCCTATGAATATACAGTTTTCCCAACACCATTCATTGAAAAGACTTTTCTCCCCATTGTGTATTCAACCACCAGGGACTAGGGGTGGGAAATAGGGAGATTTTCCCCATATATCACAGGGTAGTAAGATTCAGTTAGGAGGAATAAACTTCTGAGATCTATTGCACAGCATAGTGACTGTAGTTAATAACAGCATATGGTATCTTTCAAAATTGCCAAGAGAATAAATTTCCAATGTTCTCACCACAAAAAATGATAAATATGTCAGAAGATTAAATGTTAATTAGCTAGATTTAATCATTGCATATTGTACACATATATCAGAACATTACATTGTATTCCATTATTATGTACAGTTATTTGTTAGTTAAAATTAAAAAATAAACTTAAAATGTCTTTTAAAAATGCAAATAGCAATTGTGCATAGCAATTTATCATGTGTCTCCCAGTGTGCTGCTTTTTAATTGTATATATTTAATGTGCATAATGTGATGTTTTAATGTATGTATGTGTAGCGAAGTAATCACTGCACTTAATCTAATTAACATTAGCTTCATCTCACATACTTACCTTTCTTTTTGTTTGTGTGTGTGTGTGTGTGTGGTAAGAGCATCTAAAATCTGCTGTCATCAAGTTTTCAGTACACAATGCAAGATGATATAGTCCTTATGCTGTACATTACATATCTAGACATATGCATCCTTTGTAACTACAACTGTGCATCTTTTGACCTGTGTCTCTCCATTTTTCTTATCTCTGGCAACCGCCATTCCACTCTATTTCTATGTATTTGTTTTTTTTAAGTTTCCATATAAGTGAGATTATGAAACTTTTTTTTCTGTGTCTGGCTTATTTCACTTAATATAATTCCCTATAGTTTTATTCATGTTGTTTCAAATAACAGGATTTCTTTTTACAAGGCTGAATAATATTCTATAATATATATAATATGTGTGTATCTTTATCCACTTATCTGTTAATTGTCACTTCAGTTAATTCTATATCTTGGCTATTATGAATAATGGTGTGTTATAATAAACAGGAGTATAGATATCTTTATGAGGTAGAGATTTCATTTCCTTTGGGTATGTATGTGGAAAAGGGATTGCTGGTTCATATGGTAGTTCTCTCTTTAATTTCTTTAGGAACCTCCATGCTGTTTTCTCTAATGGCTGTACCAAAGTGTGTTCCCACCAACTGTGTACAAGTGTTCCCCTTTCTTCACACTCTCACCAATGCTTGTTAGTTCTTGTCTTTTGATATAGCCATCTGATATGGGCTTCATTGAGTCCCCACCAAAATTTCACCTTGAATTGTAGTAATCCCCACATGCCAAGGGCAGGACCAGGTGGAGATAATTGCATCATGGGGGCAGTTTTCTCCATCTGTTCTTGTCTCATGATACCTGATGGTTTCATAAATGGAAGTTCCTGTGCACAGTCCTCCTGCCTGCCACCGTATAAGACATGGCTTTGCTTTTCATTTGCCTTCTACCATGATTGTAAGACCTCCTCAGCCATGTGGAACTGTGAGTCAAGTAAGTCTCTTTTCTTTATAAATTACCCAGTCTTGGGTATGTCATTAGCAGTGTGAGAACAGGTAATATTAGCAGTGTGAAAACAGATAATATTTTCTTATGGTTTTGATTTGTATTTTCCTGGTTATTACTGACATCAAGCACATTTTCATATACCTGTTGGTATATAAAATTAATTCTTTGCTCATTTTTAAATGGGGTTATCAGTTCCAATGTGCTTCTAAAGATTAGTTAGGGCTTTGCTGTATCATCTGGACATATGTGTCTGGTTTGGAACAAATCCACTTCCTCTCTGTGTAGTACCTGGCACTACTGGCACCTTTGTCATTCAAATAGGCACACTCTCCTTCTCCCGTGATAGGAAACCTGCAACAGAAGCAGAATCAGTTGGCCACTAAACATTTCTTCCAAAGCAGAGAGAATGAAGATAAGGGAATGAGAAAACTAACATTAATTCAGTCTCTAAAAGTAATATGCATTGTTAATATTATCTCTTCAATGTTAATAATTACCCTTTAATAATTATGTTCTGTTATAGTCAAGGAAACTGAATTCCTCAAGGTTGTATAGCACGTAAAACCAGGATTTATACCAGGTCCATGAGACTGCTACGCCTATTTCCATTTCCTTTCTTTTGGAAAGGGGGCAAGTAAAGAGAGGTTACACTATTACAGATAATTTTGTTGTGGTGGTGGTGGTGGTGTGCCTAAGTCCTGATTTTCTCCTTGTGTATTGGTGATTAATTAGTTAATGGGCCTTGCTTAGCAGAAGACGTTATAAATCAACTATAGGAACAGTGCAAAGTCATGAATCAAACTTATATCATGTCTGTAAGCATATTATTTCCACTATATCCAAAGCTTCAGTTTCTTATGGGAGAAGGCTCATGCTTTTTTTCTTTACACAGTTTCCCAGTATTTTGCTTCCTTAAGTAACTGAAGACTCAGCAGCTCTTTCTAAAATCCATGCTTGATTTTATTTCTCCCACTTCCCTGGTGGCTTTAGTACTAAAACTGCAGTGCTATTTAGCTGAGTTAAGATGGTCTGGCACAGATATTTTAGGTCAGAGTTTGCATTATAAATTTTTCCTGTTTGCTCATTAGAATCACTATGGTCTATGATATGATTTGCTAATTGTTAAGACATGCTAAACCTTAATCATATAACATTTTACATTTTTTTAAGTAATGATCAGTTTCCAACAACTGGTTATTTAACAATATATTTGATCCTTAAAATATTTCGAGAGACTGGGTATGGTGGCTTACATTTGTAATTCCAACATTTGGAAGGACAAGGTGGGAGGATTACTTGAGCTCAGGAGTTTAAGACGAGCCAAGTCAATATAGTGAGATCCCATCTCTGCTAAATAAATAAACAGCCAAGCATAGTGTCACATGCCTGTAGTTCCAGTTACTCAGGAGGCTGAGCTGGAAGGAACACTTGAGCCCACGAAGTCAAGGCTGCAGTGAGCCATGGTGGTATCACTGCATTCCAGCCTGGGTAACAGAGTGAGATTCTATCTCTCAAAAACACAACAAACAAAAACCCATTTCTAGAAATAGGTAGAGAAAATTTACTACTTCAGTATTGTAAAACAAGAAATAAAAGTTAATTGCAAATATTTATGAAGCAGTCACCCTGTGCTAAGCAGTGTAGATAAAACTGTATGATTGTACATGTTCTCTGATTTCTAAAACTTATCTTCTTATCCAAGGTCAAAAGCTAATGAGAAAAAACTCATTTCAAATCTGCCAATTTCCAGTCTGGGGCCCTTTTTATTAAATACTCAGTTATATTTCCAATACTGATGAATACATTATAATAAAGCAGCTTTTCAAAATTCATCTCTCAGACAAACACTGAGTCAAATTTTGGGAATCCAATTTTTATAGCATTATCTCAAATCTCTTTATTAATCTAAAGATTCTATGAATATACAATTGAGATTAAATTTTCTAGTGCCAAACTTTACTCATTTTAAAATTTTAAAACTATTGTCTTATTTTAAATAATAGACATAATTGCTGTCACTCACAATCTTTCTCTGATACATCAAAACCTCTGTTCCTCACGTCAACACTGTGAGATCAGGAGGACAAGTACATATTAATTTTGTTGTGGAGGTAAGGAACAGACTTAAAGATACTGTATCGTGTGTTTTGAAATGAAAGTCTTCAAAAATGACATAGATAAACCTGGAGTCAAGTTCACAGTCAGTCTTTGAGGAACTTGTGAAACCTTTGCAACATACAAGTTGGCGCCACCTTCTTTTATAACTAATCTTAAAATGAGAATTTTTAAAGCATGTAACTAGAGAATACTTTAGGTTTCATGCAAAGTAAATTCAAATACAAATATCACTGCCGTATTTTTCAGAACTTACGGTCTTGTCCATTCAGTACCGTTTGTCCATTTCCATGGTTGGTCTTGTTCTCTGCTCAAACCAATCCAATGGTCAGATGGGCCCTTATATCTCAACAGGAAATTCTTTCAGAAAACGCAGAGAACATTTCAGAAAACATTAATCTAACATAAACCATCCTCTCCTAGAAATGTTACTGCTATGCCATATTCTTAACTACTCATAATTTTCTTTTTTATTTTGTTTTGTTTAGTAATAAAGAATAGATATGCTATATTATCATACATACCAAAAGAAGATAATTTAAAACTGAGAAAAATTGTTGATAATTTTGTTACTTTTGTTTCTGTATAGTACTCCTTTGTCTGACTGACCCCCAATTTATGTATTATACTATTGGTTGACACCAGGGTTTTATTGAGTTTGGAATGTATTCTACCATGACATTCTTGGCACTTGTTCTAGAATAGAATTTGTAGGCTGCAGGACATGCTTTTTGTCAATTTTAAGAAATGACACCAGGCCAGGCATAGTAATTCACACTGTAATCCCAGCACTTTGAGAGGCCAAGGCAGGCAGATCACCTGAGGCCAGGAGTTTCACACCAGCCTTGACCAACATGGTAAAATCCCCTCTCCACTAAAAATATAACAAAAATTAGCTGAGCGTGATGGCACACACCCGTAATCCCAACTATTTAGGAGACTGAGGCACTAGAATCATTTGAACCTGGGAGACAGAAGTTGTAGTGAGCCAAGATCATGCCACTGCACTCCAGCCTGGGCAATAAAGTGAGATTCTATCAAAAAAAAAAAAAAAGAAAGAAAGAGAGAAAGAAAGACAGAGAGAGAAAGAGAGAGAGAGGAGAAAGAGAGAGGGAGGGAGAAATGACACCAAACTAATGTAAGAAATGAAAGAAAGAAAAAAGGAATGACACTAAACTACCAAATTATCCTCACACCAGCCTTGTAGGCTGGCTTTCTTTGCTATGTTTGCTTGTCAACATGCACTATCCAGAAACTTCAAATGCAGATTGAGAGTTATGAGCACTTCAGCATCTGGAACCAAGGCTTCATCATTCACCATTACACTGGGAAAGTGTGGCCGATATCTATTTTAACGTCTATCTGTTTTAAGCCTTTGGGTCTGTGATCTGTTTTCTCATGAAGCAAATGATATGCCTTGCTGTATTATTCATTCAACAAATAGGGCTTATCAACTACTGAGGGAGGCAAAACAAAAGACTGTATATACTAATGCATTTTTTTTAATGTACATACTTTTTACATTGTAGAGGAGGGTACTACTTTTTTTTTACAGCATATAAATGAACATAGGTATAAGCCAGCAAGAATGAACTAACATACATCTAATGAAAAGAAGCAGAATTTCTACAACACATTAAATACCTACATCCTACTTTTGGGAACCAAATGCCAACTACATATATATATATATATATATATATATATATATATATATATATATATATAAAACAAGCCAAGTGCTGCTACATCAGAGGTACCAAAAACACTTTCTTTAGGAATTGTAAATAAGAATCATCCAACATCTGGATGCTAAATAAAAGAGCTGGAGGACTAAATAAATAGGAAAGTCACTCTACCCACTTTCCTGTTTCCATCTTTTAAGAATTCAAGTTTTTTCAAAATTTTGATTAAAATATCCTGTATCTATGATCTCTTCAACAATATCGGAGTGGTAGTTTTACTCTCTTTTTTTATTTTTATTTTTATTTTTGTCTTTTTTTTTTTTTTTTTTTTTTTTTCTTTTTGTGGACAACGGCATCTTGCTATATTGCCCAGGCAGGTCTTGAACTCCTGGGCTTAAGCTATCTTCCGGCCTCTGCCTCCTAAGAGCTGAGATTACAGGCATGAGCCACTGCACTTGGCCAGAATGGTAGCTTTAGACAACTTTAAAGCTTAAGCTCCTTCTGAATTTCCCAAAGTGTTTCTGCACTCTTCTTCAGATGGGCCTCCTCTTCAGGGGTTAGCTTTATCTTTAGAAGGTTGGTAATACCATTCTCTCCCAGGATACAAGGAATACTGAGGAATACTTCTTCATCTGTTCCATAGAGGCCGTTAATTATGGTGGCAACCGGACGTGTTTTCCTAAGATTCTTCAAAATACTTTCTGTTAAATCAGCTACAGATAGGCCAATAGCCCAACAAGTATAACCTTTCATTTTAATAATCTCATAGGCACTAGCAATCACTTCTTTGTGGACATTTTTCCATTGCTCAGGATCTTTATCAGTTCCCGTATCATAGTTCAGATCCTTCAAAGGGGACACCAGCTATGTTCACTGCACTCCACACAGGAACACTTGAGTCTTCATGCTCTCTGAGGATCCATCTGTGGCAGCTTTCAGAGCAGATACCAAGCTTTTGCCCAATCAAGAAACGAAAACGAGCCGTATCCAGATTACAGCTGCTTCCAATAACACGATTTTTGGGAAATGCACTTAATTTCCAGGCTACGTAAGTTAAGATATCCACTGGATTGGAAACAATAATCAGTTTGCAGAGGGGGCTGTACTGGACAATACTGGAAATCATTAACTTGAAGATGGCCACATTTCGCTGGACTAAATTAAGGCACGTCTCTCCCTTTTCTTGGCATGCACCTGCTGTGATAATCACTAGGTTGGAGTCTGCTGTGACACGGTAATCTTTGCTACAAACAATATTTGGCATTTTCGTGAAAGGGCTGCCATGTTGAAGATCCATTGTCTCACCCTTCAGTGTCCCTTCATTAAGATCCACAAGGGCAAGTTCGTCACTCAAGCCTTTTAACAAGATGCTGACAGCGCAGGCCATGCCCACCGACCCAGTTCCTACGATGGAGACGTTACTGTGATGAACAGGCTTCTCGGAAGTGAAACTCTCCATGAGCTCACTCTTCACAGTCGCCGTCTTGCTCACCGGGGTGAAGAGCCAGGTGCCCCTGAGCGGCAGACACCGGGCCATCCCCGGGCACAGGAAATTCACCCCCGCCGAGCTCACTCTCTGGGTGGCCCGCACAACAGGCACAGTCCAGCTCATGGCTGTTCACTCAAGAAGTGGAGGGAGAGAATGGGACAAAAGCTGCTGACCAAAACGTCGAGACGCCAAGAGAGCCACTGGCAGCCTGTCAGCCCTCATGATTCTGAATTTTAATGCAATTAAATATATAAACATTTTTCTTTATGACTAGTAAATTTAGGAACTTCTTAGGTGAATCTTTTACTCTTTCAGATCATAAAGATGACTTGTTTTTGCTTTACTTCTTTAGTTCCTTATAGTGTACAGTTAGGCTATGGATATAAGATCTTTCTTCTTTTTTAGTTATGTGTTCACAGCTATAAATTTCCCTCTTAGAACTATTTTCAGTGTATACCATAAACATGCTTTTTGTATTTTTTGTTCATTTGTCTCAAGGTATTTTCTAATTTCCCTTGTGATTTCTTCTTTGACCTCTGGCTGTTTAAGAGTGAGTTTTTTTTAAATTTTCTACATATGTGTGAATTTTCCAGTTTTTCTTGTTATTGATTTCTAGCTTCATTCCATTGTAATTACAAAAGATACTTTTTATGACTTCAAACTTTTCAAATTTATTAACACTTGTTTTGTGGCCTAACGTATGGTCTATTTTGGGGAATGTTCCATGTGCACTTGAGAAGAATCAATATTCTGCTCTTGTTGGGTAGATTATTCTGTAGCTGCTTGTTAGAAATTTGTTTATAGTGTTGTTCAGATTTTCTATTTCCTTATTGATCTTCTGTCTAGTTGTTTAATCTATTGGAAGTGGACTGTTTCATTTTCCAACTTTTCATAGAACTCTTGGCTTCTCCCTTAAATTATAGCAATTATTGCTTCATATATTTTCCAGCTATATTAAGTATATATATTTTATAACTAATAATTGCTTTGCTATATCAAACTTTTTTTAAATGCATAATGCCTTTCTTTGTCTCTTGTGATTTTTTACTTGAGTTTATTTTGTCTGACAAAACTCAACACTATTTTGGTTACTATTTGTATGGAATATCTTTTTCAGTCCTTTTACTTTCAACTTTCTTGTATCAAAGGTGAGTCTCTTGTAGACAACATATGAGTCTTGTTTCCCTTTTTAATTTGTTTTGTTTTTTAGCCAACTTGTCAATCTCTGTCCTTTAATAGGATAAATTCATCCTTTTTTATTTAATGTAATTACTAAAACAAAATTTACTTTTGCCATTGAACTATTTGTTTTCTCTTATCTTTTACCTCTTTGTTTCTCAAGTTGTCTGTTACTGCCATCTTTTGAATTTAGTTGATTTTGTATAGTGTATTTTTTTTCCTTTTCTGTATATTTTTAGTAATTTTATTAGTGGTTACCTTGAGGATTATACTTAACATTTTAAACTTGTAATGATATAATTTTATAGTATCAACATAGCTTCAATAACTATGCAAACATTTTGATCACATATGTCTTCATCCCTCCTGCTTTATAAGATTGTCACAGATTTCATCTTTACACATTATGTGACCACCATCAAAGATTTATAATATTTATGCATTTGCCTATGAAATTATAGATAGATAAATATAAATATAGATAGTTATAAATAAGAGAAGTTATAAACTATTCAACACATACAGTAATTCTGGGTTTTATATTTATCTCTAATGTTACCTTTATAAATATTCTTTATTTGTTGGGCTCTGAATTGCTGTCTAGTGTCCTTTACTTTCAACCTAAAAGGTTCCCTTTAGCAAGTTTTGTAGCATAGGTCTACTGGTAATAAAATCCCTCAATTATTAGTTATCTGAAAATGTATTACTTTTTCCTTCATTCTTGAAGGACAACTTTGCTATGTCTAGAATTTGTGGTTGGCAGTTTTATTTATTTTTTCTTTCAGATACTTAAATATGCCATTTCATTGCCTTCTGATCTCCATGGTTTCTCAGAGAAAATCAGCTATTAACCTTATTCATCTTATGAAAATGTTGAGTTGCTTCACTCTTGCTGCTTTCAAACTTATCTCTTCACTTTTGTTAACTTGACTATAATTTGTCTCAATGTAGTTCTCTTTAAGTCTACCCTTTTGGAGTTCATTGAGCCTCTTGTATGTTTATATTTGTGTATTTCCTCAGATTTGGAAAGTTTTGTTTATTATTTCTTTAAATGTATTTTTCTGCTTCTCTTTCTCTTCTCTTTCTTGGATTTCTACTTTGCATATGTTGATATGTTTGGTGATGTCCTACAGGTTTCTTAGAATCTGTTTATTTATCTTCATTTTTTCTCTTTGTTTTTCTTAGTTTTGATTGTTTCAAGTGTCTTATTTTCAAGTTTTCTGATCTCTTTCTTCTCAAATCTACTGTTTAACTTCTCAAGTGAGTTTTTCATTATTCTTTTTACATTTCACTCATTGTACTTTTCAGCTCTGTAATTTTTGCTTGTTTTTTTTTTTTTACAATTTCAACCTTTATATTGATATTCTAATTTTGTTCATTTATTATGTTTTGGGTTTGCTTTAGCTTTTTACTTGTTTTCTTTAGCTCATTGGATATACTTAAGACAGCTGATTTAACATTTTTTACCCATATTTTTAATATCTGGGCCTCTCCAGGGATAGTTTCTGTCAGATTATCTTTTCTGTGAGTGAACCATACTTTTCTTTGCATGTTTTGTAATTTATTTTTTTGAGAATTGGACATTATGAGTACTATGTTGTGCTAACTTCGGTAACTTAATTCTTTTGCTCTTCAGGGATTGTCAAATCTTGGTTGTTGTAGTTCAGAGTCATTTGTTCACGATTTTCCCAAACTATTTTTTACAAAATGCATATTCTCTGTTGTTTACTGTCATTGAAATTTCTGTTCTGTTATCACTGCAGTCATCCAGTTATCTAACAACAGTAGTCTTAAATGGCTGCTTCCCAAATGGAGAAAAAACACATACTATTTCTTTACTTCAGCTGATGAGGATTGAAGCAATGATAGCCCACTTGTGCATCTGTCCCTCAGCATCCAAAGGCAGAAATCCACAATAACCCTGATATTTAGAGAAAAAGTTCTTATTGTCCACACTGGCTGCAGGAATTCATTCCAGGGGCATGGGCAGCAGTTCCCATGGCTCCCTGCAATAATAGGGTGTGGAAAATCGTTATTGTTGAGTGAAAAGGCTGAAATTCACTGACATTAACCAAAATTTATCATCTTTGTCATCAAACTCTTCCCTTGATGCTGCCAGTGTTTAACTAGATTCAGGTAAAACATATTCTTGTAGCTTTTTACTCCACCATCCTCTCTGACATCATTCTTGCTAGGTGATTTTATTTTACTTTATTTTGAGACAGAGTCTCACTCTGCCCCCCAGGCTGGAGTGCAGTGGCATGATCTCAGCTAACTGCAGTCTCCATCTCCCAGGTTCAAGCAATTCTCCTGCCTCAGCCTCCCAAGTAGCTGGGATTATAGGTGTTTACCACCATGCCCAGCTAATTTTTATAATTTTTATTGAAGATGGGGTTTCACTGTGTTGGCCAGGCTGGTCTTGAACTCCTGATCTCAAATGATACACCCTCCTTGGCCTCCCAAAGTGCTGGGATTATAGGCAGGTGCCACTGTGCCCAGCCCTGCTTAATTTATTTTAAAACAATGTTACTAACTTCATACAAACTTAAAATTGTGTTTTTACCAATGCTTTTCCAATCTTTATTAGCACAGTTCTGGCTCACAAGTCAAATAAGGCTCTGGCTTGCTTGCCCTCTGGGCCTGTTCCTGCCATGAATGTTAAGGTAATTTTAGATGGTTTGCTGTAATATGTAATACATGCTGGGTTACTCTCTTCTTATGCTAAAAAAAAAATCAATGTATAAGCAGGTGTCTAAACCTACCTCTTAGATAATTTAATAGGAACACATATTCTTGTAGGACTAAATATTTTATTGTTGCCAGAACTATTTTCTTACCAGTTCCTGGAAATTTTCAACCAGAGCAAGATTAGCATCTTGTGAGTCACAAAACCTCTGACTTGAGGTCCAGTTCTTGGTGTCATCAGAAAAGTAGAAACATTTTCTTTGAAAACCAATCCAACTTTCTGGGCATGCAGCTTGAAGACATACTGATGGCTTTTGATGGCAGTTAGTTCTAATTGCTGAAAATAAAAATTTCTTACTTTTATATTGTATCATATAAATTACCACATGCTAATATGCTTTCTGACACTCCTGTTAAGTATTAAATGTATTACTTTCATTTTTTAAATGAGAAATATGATGCTGAAAATAATTGCATACATTACACAGTAAATGGCAAAACTGAGTTTCAAACTTATGCCTTCAGTAGCGGGTGAGCTCAAAAAGGAGTTAGTGCCTTAAGCTTGCTCTGGGCCATGTACCTATTTGGCTCTCAACAGTGTTACCTTTTCTTAAAATATTAGATACATTAATGATAGCATTTGATTAGCTTTGGAGAACAGATAGTTCTCCAAGTGCTCTAGATCCCCAACCTCCAGGCCATGGATCAGTATGGGTCCATGACAAGTCAGGAACTAGGCTGCACAGCAGGAGATAAGTGGCAAGTGAATGAGTGAAGCTTCCTCTGTATTTACAGCCACTCCCCATCACTCATGTTACCGCCTGAGCTCCACCTCCTGTCAGATCAGCAGTGGCATTAGATTCTCATAGGAGTGCAAACCCTACTGGGACCTGCTCATGTGAGAAATCTAGATTGTGTGTTTCTTATGAGAATCTAACACCTGATGATCTGTCACTGTCTCCCATCACTCACAGATGAGACCATCTAGTTTTAGGAAAACAAGCTCAGGGTGCTCACTGATTCTACATTATGGTGAATTGTATAATTATTTCATTATGTATTATTGCATGATGTAATAATAATGTAAATAAAGTGTGCAATAAAGGTAATCCACTTAAATCATCTCAAAACCATTCCTTAACCCTAGTCCATGAAAACGTGGTCTTTCACAAAACTAGTCCCTTGTGCCAAAAAGGTTAGAGACTGCTGCTCTAGATGACTTGGTAAAACGAGGGGCAGGATATAGATATCTTATGTGAAAAAGGTTTCTTGAGGTGAAAAGGGCTAGTATATGTCTAGATAGTCTCATAAATAAGTTGTACAGCGAGCTTCCATCCACTAAGGAGATTTAGCGAGGTTTTCTACACTTTGAAGGCAGCAATACTTCACTACACAGGCTTTTCTGACCTACATCTCCTATAATCAGGAGAAATGCTCTCTTCACATGGAATCCAGAGCAATGACTGTCTCTCAGATAGTTGTCACTGAGCCCCTAGTGGCTTACCATCTTCTGTTCTATGACCACCTTCTCCCTTCAACTCAATAGTTCTGAAAGTGTCTATGACCAGAATGCTGGGTACTCATAGAATCATTACTATCAACTGTCACCACTATTCTTGGCTTTGGCTCTTATGAGATGAGAAATCACTTCTGGTTATGAATAATAACTGGTGTAATCTGATGTCAAATCATAACACCAGGAAATTGTGTATTGTACCTGATTTGGTATCACCAACCAGGTACCAAATTATAATTATTATAATGTAATTTCTTGAACTAGACTTGAAGGCAGGATGACTTTCTCCAAATCTGTGGAGATATCTCCAAATCTGTTGTGCTATCACTGCTCCTATAACAACCAGTTTAAAGAAAATGACCAGACCAGAGAGAGCAAGACAGCTGAATACGAACAGCCCCAGTCTGCAGCTCCCAGTGAGACCAACACAGAAGGTGAGTGATTTCTGAATTTCCAGCTGAAGCACCCAGATCATCTCATTGGGACTGGTTACACAGTGGGCACAGCACGTGAAGGGTGAGCAGAAGCAGAGTAGCGCATCACCTGACCCAGGGAGTGCAAGGGGCCAAGGCACTCCCTCACCTAGTCAAGGGAAACTATGAGGGAATGTGCTGTGAGGAATGGTGCACTCTTTTCCCATGGTGTTTGCAAGCCACAGACACTACACTTTTCCCACGGTGTTTGCAAGCCACAGACCAGGAGATTCCCTAGGGTGTCTACACCACCAGGGCCCTGAGTTGCAATCACAAAACTGGGTGACCATTTGGGCAGTCACTGAGCTAGCTGCAGAAGTTTTTGTTTCGTTTTGTTTTGTGTTTGTACCTTGGTGGTGCCTAGAACCCCAGCAAGACAGAACCATTCACTCCCCTGAAAAGGGGGCTGAGACCGGGGAGCCAAGTGGTCTTGCTCAGTGGGTCCCACCAACACAGACCCCCACAGAGCCCAGGAAGCTAAGATCTACCAGCTGGAAATTCTTACTTCCAGCACAACAGTCTGAAGTCAACCTGGGACACTTGAGCTTGGTGGGGAGTGGGGCATCTGCCATTACTGAGGCTTGAGTAAGCAGTATCCTCCTCACAGTGTAAACAAAGCCACTTGGAATTTTAGACTAGGCAGAACACACCACAGAGCAGCAAAGCCGCTACAGATAGACTGCCTCTCTGGATTTCTCCTCTCTGGAAAAGGCATCCCTAAAAGAAGGGCAGCAGCCGCAGTCAGGGGCTTACAAATAAAACTCCCATCTTCCTGGGACAGAGCGCCTGGGGAAAGGGGTGGCTGTGGGCACAGCTTCAGCAGACTTCAACATTCCTGCCTGTCAGCTCTGAAGAGAGCAGTGGATCTCCCAGCACAGTGCTCGAGCTCTGTTAAGGGACAGACTGCTTCCTCAGGTGGGTCCCTGACCTCCATGGCTCCTGACTAGGGGATAGCTTCCAGCAGTGTTCTACAGACACCTCATACAGGAGAGCTCTGGCTGGCATCTGGTGGGTGCCTCTCTGGGATGAAGCCTCCAGAGGAAGAAGCAGGCAGCAATCTTTGCTTTTCTGCAGCCTCTACTGGTGATACCCAGGCAAATGGGATCTAGACTGGCCCTCCAGCAAACTCCAGCAGACCTCCAGAAGAGGGACCTGACTGTTAAAAGGACAACTAACAAACAGAAAACAATAACGTCACCATCAACAAAAAGAACATCCACACAGAAACCCCATCAAAGGTCATCACCGTCAAAGACCAAAGTAGATAAATCCAAGAAGATGTGGAAAAAACAGTACAAAAATGCTAAAAATTTCAAAAACCAGAACTCCTTGCCAGCAAGGTAACAAAACTGGACAGAGAATAAGTTTGATGAATTGACAGAAGTAGGTTTCAAACTTGTCCAAGCTAAAGGAGCATATTCTAACCCAAAGCAAGGAAGCTAAGAACCTTGATAAATGGTTATAGGAATTGCTAACTAGAATAATCAGTTTAGAGAAAATCATAAATAATCTGATGGAGCTGAAAAACACAGCATGAGAACTTCATAAAGCATACACAAGTATTAATAGCTGAATCAATCAATCAGCAAAAAGGATATCAGAGATTGAAGGTCGACTTAATGAAGTAAAGTGTGAGGACAAGATTAGAGAAAAAACAATGAAAAGGAACAAACAAAGCCTCCAAGAAATATGGGACTATGTGAAAAGACAAAACCTATGATTGATGGTGTACCTGAAAGTGACAAGAGTGGAATCAATTTGGAAAACACACTTCAGGATATTATCCAGAAGAACTTTCCCAACATTAAAATTCAGCAAGACAGAAGGGCATTATATAGCAAGAAAGGCCAACATTAAAATTCAGGAAATACAGAGAACACAACTAAGATACTCCTCAAGAAGAGCAAACTCAAGACACATAATCATCAGATTTACCAAGGTTGAAATGAAGGAAAAAATATTAAGGGCAGCCAGAAAGAAAGATCGGGTTGTCCACAAAGGGAAGCCCATCAGACTAATAGCAGATCTCTCTGCAGAAACCGTACAAGCCAGAAGAGAGTGGGGGACAATATTCAACATTCTTAAAGAAAAAAATTTTCAACCCAGAATTTCATATCCAGCCAAATGAAGCTTCATAAGCTAAAGAGAAATAAAATCCTTTATTGACAAACAAATGTGAAGGGATTTTGTCACCACCAGGACTGCCTTACAAGAGCTCCTGAAAACAATGAATATAAAAAGGAAAAACCAGTACCAGCCACTGCAAAAACATAATAAAATATAAAGACTGACAACAATATGAGAAAACTGCATCAACTAGTGTATAAATAACAAGCTGACTGGCATCATGATGACAAGATCAAATTCACACATAACAATATTAACCTTAGATGTAAGTGGGCTAAATGCCCCAATTAAAAGACATAGACTGGCATATTGGATAGAGTCAAGACACATCAGTGTGCTGCATTCAGGAGACTCATCTCACGTGCAAAGACACACATAGGCCCCCAATTAAAGAGGAAGATTTACCAAACAATTGGAAAGAAAAAAAGAAAGAAAGAAAGAAAAAAGCAGGAGTTGCAATCCTAGTGTCTGATAGAATGGACTTTAAACCAACAAAGAAATATAAAAAAGACAAAGAAAGGCATTACATAATGATAAAGGGATAAATGCAACAAGAAGAGTTAACTATTCTAAATATATATGCACCCAATACAGGATCACCCAGATTGATAAAGCAAGTTCTTAGAGACCTGCAAAGAGACTTAGACTCCCACACAATAATAGTTGGAGACTTTAATACCCCACTGTCAATATTAGACAGATCATCAAGACAGAAAATTAACAAGGATATTCAGGACCTGAACTCAGCTCTGGACCAAGCAGACCTAATAGACATCTACAGAACTCTCCACCCCACATCAATGGAGTATACATTCTTCTCAGCACCATATAGCACCTATTCTAAAATTGGCCACATAATTGGAAGTAAAACCCTCTTCAGCAGCAAATGAAAAAAAATTACAACAAACAGTCTCTCACACCACAGGGCAATCATGTTAGAACTCAGGATTAAAAAACTCACTCAAAACTGCACAACTACATGGAAACTGAACAACCTGCTCCTGAATTATTATTGGGTAAATAACAAAATTAAGGCAGAAATAAAGACGTTCTTTGAAATCAATGAGAACAAAGACACAGCATAACAAAATTTCTGGAAGGGACACAACTAAAGCAATGTTTAAAGGGAAATTGCTTAAGCTCAGGAAGTCAAGGTTGCAGTGAACTATGTTTGCACCACAAACTTCAGCCTGGATGACACAGCAAGATTCTTTCTCTTAATGAAAAGTAAAATAATGAAATACCTCTACACGTTTATTAAAATGATCAAAGCTCAAAACACTGACAAATCAAAACCACAATGAGATAACTGTCTCATGCCAGTTAGAATGGTTGTCGTTAAAATGTCAGGAAACAACAGTGCTGGAGGGGATGTTGAGAAATAGAAACGCTTTTACACAGTTGGTGGGCGTGTTGAAGAGGGATACTTTAGATACAACACCAAAAACACAGTCAAGAAAGAAAAATAAATAAATTGAACTACATAAAATTATAGCTTTTATGCATCAAGGAATACTACCAACAGAGTGAAAAGACAACCCACAGAATGGGACAAAATAGGATTCCCTATTTAATAAATGATGTTGGGGAAACTGGCTAGCCATATGCAGAAAACTGGAACTGGTCTTTTGTGGGTCTGTTGAGATTTTAGGGTTTTGTTTTTTTTTTTTAATTCTGTGAAGAATGTTATCAGCATTTGAATAAGGAGTGCATTGAATCTGTACATTGTTTTGGGTAATATGGAACTTTTAAGAATATTGATCTTCCAATCCATGAATATGGAATATTTAAATATTTTTTTGTGTGTGGCCTGCTCAATTTATTTTATCAGTGTTTTATTGTTTTCATAGTAGAGAACTTTAACTCTTTGGTTAAGTTTATTTTCAGGTATTTAATTTGCAGTGATTGCAAATGTGATTACTTTCTTCGGTTCCTTTTCAGATTGTTTGCAATTGGCACATTTTAATTTTGTATCCTGCAACTGTGCTAAATTTATCAGTTCCAAAATTTTTTTGGTGAAGCCTTTAGGTTGTCATTACTATAAAATTATATCATCTGCAAACAAGGATAATTTGGCTTCTTTCTTTCTGATTTGAATGCCTCTTCTTTCTCTTATCTAATTACTCTGGGTAAAACTTCTGGTATTACGTTGAATAAAGGTGGTGAAAGTAGACACTTTTGTTTTTAATTTTAGAAGAAAGGCTTTCAGTTTTTCTTTATTCAGTATGATACAAGCTTTGGATTTGAAATATATAGCTGTTATCATGTTGATCTCCTTCTTCCATACCCAGTTTGTTCAGAGTTTCTAACATGAAGGAATGTTGAATTTTATTGATAATCACATGGCTTTTGTTCTTCATTCTGTTGATATAATGTATCACATGTATTGATTTGCATATGTTGAACTATTATTGCATCTCTTTGATGAATTTTACTTTATCATGATAAAAATATCTTTCAAATTGTTGTCGAATTCAATTTACTAGTTTTTTTTAAGACTTTCATTATCTAGTTCATTAGAAATATTGGACTGTAGTATTCTTTGGTTGTGTGTTTATCTGGTTTTGGTATCAAGGTAACACTGGCCTCAGAATGAATTTGAAAGTATTCCCTCCTCCTCAATTTTTTGGGAAAATTTGAGTAAGATTAGTATTAATTATTCTTTCAATGATTAGTAGAATTAAGCAGAAAAGCAATCGGGTCCTGGGCTTTTTTTTTTTTTTTTTTTTTTTAATGAGAGACTTTTCATTACTACTTCTACCTTCTTACTTGTTGGTCTATTCAGGTTTTAGATTTCTTCAGAATTTAACCTTTGCAAATTATATGTGTCTCTGAACTTATCCATTACCTCCATATTTTCCAAGATATTGACAAATAGTTGCTCATAAATCTCTAATTATCCTTTGAATTTCTGTGGTAGCAGTTGTCATGTCTCCTTTTGGATCTCTAATTTTTATTTTTGGGTCTTTTAATTTTTTATAGTCTGGCTAAATGTTTGTCAGTCTTGTTTATCATTTCAAAAGGCCAACTTTCTGTATTATTGATCTTTTCTTTTACAAGTTTCTATTTTATTTCTGCTCTAACCTTTTTTTTTCTTTTACTATTTTTGGGTTTGGCTTGATCTTGCTTTTCTAATTCTTTAAGGTACATCGCTCAGTAATTTATTTAAAGTTTTTGTACTTTTTTGATGTAGGAGGCATTTATTGCTATAAGTTTCTCTCTAAGTGTTGCTTTAGCTGTATTCCATACCAGGTTTTTGTATGTTTTATTTTCATTTTCATTAATTTCAAAAATATTCTATATTTTATTCTTTATTTCTTCACTGACCCAATGGTTGTTCAGGAACATGTGGTTTACTATACATGTATTTATATGGTTTTCAAAGTTCCTCTTTTTATTGATTTCTAGTTTTTTTTCATTGTGGTCAGAAAAGATGCTGGATATGCCTTCAGTTTCTAAAAATTTTTTCAGACTTGTTGTAAATCCTAACAAGTGATAAATTCTGGATAATGCTCCATTTGTTGATTAGAAGAATGTGTATTTTGCAGTTGTTGGATGAAACAGTCTGTAAATATCTGTTAGGTCCATTTGTCCTATAATGCAGATTAAGATTAATGATTTGGTCCTCTATTCATTGATCTTCTCAGCCTATATCCTAAGTAATATATTGTTTTAAGAACACATAATGAATCGTTGGTCAATACAGTAGGCTCCTTTATTTGTGGTTTGGCTTTCTTTTTTTTTTTTTTTTTTTTTTTTTTGAGACGGAGTTTCGCTCTTGTTACCCAGGCTGGAGTGCAATGGCGCGATCTTGGCTCACCGCAGCCTCCACCTCCTGGGTTCAGGCAATTCTCCTGCCTCAGCCTCCTGAGTAGCTGGGATTACAGGCACACGCCACCATGCCCAGCTTATTTTTTGTATTTTTAGTAGAGACGGGGTTTCACCATGCTGACCAGGATGGTCTCGATCTCTTGACCTCGTGATCCACCCGCCTCGGCCTCCCAAAGATCTGGGATTACAGGCGTGAGCTACCACGCCCGGCCTGTAGTTTGGCTCTCTGATGTTTCAGTTACACATGGTCAACTGAGATCTAATGCGCTGAATGGGAAATTTTAAAAAGAAATAATTCATAAATTTTAAATGGTGCACCATTCTAAGTGGGGTGATAAAATGTCAGAACATGAAGCATCACTTTGTCCAGCATATCCATGCTGTAGATACTCCCCACCTATTAGTCACTTAGTAGCCATCTTGTAATCAAATTGACTCTCACAGTATCACGATTCCTGTGTTCAAGTAATCCATATTTTCCTTAATAAAAGCCCCAAGGCACGAAAGTAATAATGCTTGCAGTTTAAGTATGCCAAAAGGAAGCCATATAGTGCTTCCTTAAAATGAAAAGATAAAAATTCTCAGCTTAATTAGAAAAAAAAATAGTATGTTGACATTGCTAAGATCTAAAGTAAGAATGAATCTTCTGTCTGTGAAATTGTGAATAAAGAAAAAGAAGTTCATGATAGTTTTGCTATTGCACATTAAACTGAAAGTTATAGGTGCTCAGTTAAGATAAAAATGGCATTACATTTCTGAATGGAAGACCTGAATAGAAACATGTTCCAATTGATGGCAATTGTATTTAGAACTATCTGCATCTTCAGGTGTCTACATATGCCCCACAGACAAGGGGTGTACTACTCCATTCAAGCATAAACACACTTGTATACATTACAAAGACTTCTACAACTCTATTTTGGTATGACCTTTATCAGAAGCAATGCCTTTGAAATCACTTAATTGAAAATGGAATTCTTGAGTGAAAAGATATTAGGTAAAACTACACAATAAAAGACCTAGTAATAATGTAAATTTAAGCATAATATAACTGGCAATTTGGTTGTATCTTCTGAAGACTCTGATCACTTCAGTAAACTTGGAATAATGGAACCGTATTTATGTAATTAAAATTTTTGATGCCACTTAAAAAGTTATTGGAGTTTAACTCAATTAGTGAGACAATATATTAAAAGCTGTAAAGAATAACAAAATTATTAAGATGCCGTATCTTCTTTTTACAAGTATAATTATCTCTAGAGAAATAAAGATTACAATTCACTTACCTCTTAAAGTAATAGTCATTCCACACAGTGTGATTGTCAGAAACACAATTAAGAAAAATAAGCACCAATTTAAGGTAGCTTTACTACAGTGCTCTTTTGAATGCAGATAATCTGGGAAAAGATTATTGAAAAACATTTTTAAAATTAAATACAGACACAATACTGCCAGAAACATTAACTATCAAAATGTTATTTTTATTTAATTCCTTCCCTTTTCACTGGAGGATGCAACTGACCTGTCATCTTATGAACTTACTATTTTGTCTCCAGAGTTTAATCATTTTCCAAAGTTAAAACAATTGATTTTAACTTTCCAGCTACCATATTGAAGTTACCCTTTTAATTGGAGGGTATCATATCAACTAAACCACAGGGATGAAATAAACAAAATCCAAATTGTTGGACATTCAACATAGCAAATCATCCCGATTTCTGTCTAAAAATGTAAAGAAACATTTTTTAAAGATATTAAGAGGTGATCTATTGATTAAAAATAGACTGAAAAGGCATTGTTTTGGAGAAAAAAAAGGCAAAACTGAAATGATAAAGTGATTACTCTAGAGGCCAAATGTGTTATTCTTGGAAGATAGGAGGGTGAATACTTAAGAATACGTGGAGTGCTTCTGAGCCACATAACAAGGATCTTTCTCAGACAATGTTAGTAGTTGTATTAGTCCCTTCTCACTGCTCTGAAGAACTGCCCAAAACTGGATAATTTAAAAAGGAAATAGATTTAATTGACTCACAGTTCTGCATGGCTGGGGAGGCCTCAGGAAACTTACAATCATAGTGGAGGGGGAAGCAAACATGTCCTTCTTCACGTGGCAGCAGGAGAGGGAAGTGCCTGACAAAGGGGTAAAAGCCCCTTATAAAACCATCAGATCTCATGAAAACTCACTATCACGAGAACAGCATGGGGGTAACCATCTCCACGATTCAGTTATCTCCCATTGGGTCCCTCCCATGACAAGTAGGGACTATGGAAACTATAATTTAAGATGACATTTGGTTGGAGAGAGAGCCAGGCCATATCAGTAGTCAACAAACGTGTTTATATTATAATAATTAATCAAGCTATATATTTTTATTGTATAATTTCCTGTTTTTGTGTTATATCTCAAAATGTCTTAGGTTATATAAAACCTCTTATAAAGTTAATTGTTGGAAACCCATTCTTACACACTCTCTTACATACAATTCACACCTCTAGTTCATTTCTCTAAGTTTGTCCTTAGTTAAATAGGCATATTTTCCTCTAACATTCCCCTCAATACTAGAGACATTAGCAAGCTTTACACTGATGTCTCCCAAGATATTTTTCTTAATCAGTAGATTTTAGTTTTTATCAGTTTCAGTTGACAGAGATACTGAATGAAAAATTCAGGGTTTACATATATTCCTGTGCCCCCTTTATCAAAGATTTAAGAAATCATAAAAGAATCCAGAGGAAAATAAATTCTACATGTAGAGAAACAATGACATAAATGACATTTACATTCTCCTCAAAAATCATGAAAGCAAGAAGAGAGTGGAAAAAAATAAAGTGTTAAGAGCAAAAAATCTCATCAACTTAGAATTCTTTCACTAAAAAAATTATTCAAAGTGAATGAGAACAAACACATTTTTAGATAAACATTGAGACAACTTGTTGCCCGTAGACCTGTCATACCAAAAAACAAAAAAGTTAAATGCATGTTTTAAAAAGGAAAGAAAATTATACAGATTAGAAACTTGAATTATGTTAAAAAGAATGTAAAAAATAAGTGAAGGTAAAATAAAACTATTTTTCTTATTCTTAACTGATCTAACAGATGACAATTTGTTCAAAATAACAATAGTAGCAATATGTTTAATTATGTTTGCTTATATATCTTTTATATATATTTATATGCTTATGTATGTAAATGAAATAAATAACAAATGATACATGGGATAAAGGCAGAGAATTAGGATTTTTTTTTATTATAAGGTACTCACAGTGCCTGTGAAATGGTATGGTATTATTTGAAAGCAAACTTACATTAGTTATGAGTGTATATTGCAAACACTAGGGTAACTATTAAAAACAAATTTTTAAAATATAATCAATATACTAAGAATGGGAAAAAAATGAAACTTTATAAATGCTAAGTTAAAAACTACAACTGCAGAAAAAGAATGAAAGACAAGACTGGGTGCAGTGGCTTACACTTATAGCCCTTTGGGACACTGAGGCAGGGGGATCATTTGAGGCCAGAAGTTCAAGACCAGCCTGGGCAACATAGAAAGACTCTGTCTCTGCAAAAATTAAATAAAAATCATCCAGGCTTGGTGGAACATGCCTGCAATACCAGCTACTCAGTACTCAGATGGGAGAATCACTTGGGCCTAGGAGTTCAAGGGTACAGGGAGCTATAATTATACCACTGCACCAGCTTAATAAATAGAGTGAGACTCTGTCTCTGAAAAGAAAAGAATGAAAAAAAAAATACCAGAAAAACAAAGAACAAAGGCAACAAATAGAAAACAGGAAGAAATATAGTAGATATTTAATCCACCTATGTTAAAAATCCTTTTAATGTCAGTGAATATTTATACAATTCTTCACCCCAGGTCCACAGAACATACATTTTTTTCGGTATCACATTACACCTATTTTGAAAGTGACCACATAAATGGAAGTAAATCACTCTTCAGCATTTGCATAGCATTTCACAGATTTAAATGAAATATTGGTTGGCTGTTTGTTTGTTATTTTCTTCCCTTATTCCTTCCTGTCTCCACTGTTAAGTACAATTATCAGCATAAAAGAAGTTCTTAATACCTATTTTTAGATTGCATTCCAACCTGGGCAATAGAGCAAGACTCCTGTTCTCTCTCCCCCTTTCTCTTTCTCTATCTTTCTTTCTTTCTTAAAAAGAAAAAAAAGAAAGAAAAGAAAAGAAAATAGAACATCAATAGAGAAAGGTTATCACAACCAAAAACTAGGTTTTGAAAGATTTTTTTTTAAAAATGGATAAGGCTTTAGCCAGGCTAATTAAGGCAAAAAGGGGAAGGACAAAAATTATTCATACCAGAAATAAATAAGGAGCAATTACTACAGATCCCATGGATGTTAAAATGGACAGTTCTATGTCCACACAGAGGCTCAATCACTTGAGAGACATAATTTGTCTAAACTCATACATGGAGAAATAGATGGTCTAAATATGTTTATATTTACTACAGAAGTTGAATCAGTGTTTAATAATCTTCCAAAACAGAAACTACCATGTCAAGATAAGCTCATGGTGAATTCAACCAAACATTTAAGAAAAAAATCATACCAATTCTCTATAATTTGTTTTGGAAGTTAGAACAGAGAGAATACCTCTTAACTCATTCTATGAGGCCAGGTTTATTCTAATAGGAAAATCAGATTAAGACATTAGAATAAAAGAAAACTATGGGTGAATATATTCCATGAACATAGATGCAAAACTTCAATGAAATATTAGCAAATCTAATCCAATGATGTATAAAAAGAATTATATAATGTGATCAAGTGAAATTTATTTCAGCTATTCAAGACAGGTTTGACATTTAAAAATCAATTAATATTATCCATAACATTAATGAGCTAAAAAAATCACTTGATCATATCAATATATACAAAAAAATTAACAAAATTTAACACCCATTTGTGATTAAAACTCTCAGTAAATAAAATTCAACATAGATTTGTGACAAAACTCTCAGTAAATTAGAAATAAGGAAAAACTTCTTCACTTTCAAAAAGAATATCTATGAAAACCTACAACTAACATCCTCAAATATGATGAGAAACTTGACACTTTCCCTCTAAGATCAAGAGCAAAGCAAAGATGTCCCTCTCGTCAGTACTTTACAACATTGTTCTAGAAGTACTAGATAATGCAGTAAGACAAGAAAAGAAAATAAAAGTATACAGATGAGAAAATAAGAAATAAAACTCTTTCTTTGCAGATGACTTTATCATCTATGTAGAAAATTAAAAAGAATTAAAAATTCTGGGAACTGATATGCAAGGTTACTGATATGCAAGGTTGCAGGATGAGTTACTAACATACAAAAGTCAGTAACTTTTCCATATGCCAGAAATAAACAAATGGACTTTTAATTGAGAATACAGCACCATATACATCGTCATTCAAAACATAAAATGCAAAGGTATAAATCTAATAAAATATGTACAAAATCTATATGTGGAAAACTACAAACTGATGAGTGAAATCAAAGAAGAACTAAACAGAGAAGTATTTTATGTTCATGGAAAGAATTAATATTGCCAAGATATCAATCTTCCCAACTTTATCTACAGATTAAATGCAATGATAATAATAATCTCAGCAAGTTATTTTGTAAATATCAACAAACTGATTCTAAAGTTTGTATAGATAGGCAAAAGACCCAGAAAAGCAAACACATTACTGAAGGAGATGAGCAAAGTTAAGAAACTGATATTAGCTAACTTTATGATTTACTCTAAAACTACAATAATCAAGACAATGTGGTATTGGTTAAAGAATAGACAAATTAATGAACAAGGATAGAAAGCAGAGTAGTAGACTAAAGAGAAATAGACCCAGGTAAATATAGTCAACAAATCTTTGGTAAAGGAACAAAAGCAATACAATTAAGAAAAGATAATATTTTTAACAAATGATGCTGAACAACTAGACACCCACATACAAATAAATGCCTCCTGACTGGGTGGGAGACTTCCCAACAAGGGTCACCAGACACCTCATACAAGAGAGTTCCAGTTGGCATCAGGCCAGTGACCCTGTGTGACGAAACTTCCAGAAGAAGAAGCAGACAGCAATCTGTGCTGTTCTGCAGCCTCCGTTCGTGATACCCAGGTGAACAGGGTTTAAAGTGGACCCCAGCAAACTGCAACAGACCCGCAGCAAAGGAGCTGACTTAGAAAATAAACAAAGAAAAGGTAACAACAACATCAACAAAAAGACCCCACAAAAACCCCATTCAAAGGTCATCAGCCTCAAAGATCAAAGGTGGATAAATCCACAAAGATGAAGAAAACCCAAGGCAAAAACACTAAAAATTCCAAAAGCCAAAATGCCTCTTCTCCTCAAAATGATAACCACACTTCTCCAGCCAGGGCATAGAATGAGGCTGAAGCTGAGATGAATGAACTGACAGAAAAAGGCTTTAGAAAGTAGGTAATAATGAACTTCACTGAACTAAAGGATTATGTTCTAACCCAATGCGAAGAAGTTAAGAAGCATAATAAAAGATTATAGGAGCTATTAACCAGAATAACTAGTTTAGAGAGGAATAAAAATGATGTAATAGAGCTGAAAACACAGCATGAGAACATCATGATGCAAACACAAGCATCAATAGCCAGATTGACCAGGCAGAAGAGAAAATATCAGAGCTTGAAGACTATCTTGCTAAAATAAGGCGGACAGACAAGATTAGAGAAAAAAGAATGAAAAGGAATGAACACAACCTCCAATAACTATGGGACTATGCAAAAAGATTGAACCTATGACTGATTGGAGTACTTGAAAGAGACGGAGAGAATGGAACCAAGTTGGAAAACACACTTCAGGATATAATCCAGGAGAACATCTTCAACCTAGCAAGACAGGTCAACATTCAAATTCAGGAAATCCAGAAAATCCCAATAAGCTATTTTATAAGAAGGTCAACCCCAAGACACAAAATCATCAGATACTCCAAGGTCAAAATGAAAGAAAAAATATTAAGGGCAGCCAGGGAGAAAGGTCAGGTCACTTACAAAGGTAAGCCCATCGGACTATCAATTTTGTATGATTACAATATGCCAGTGTAGATTTATTAATTACAATAAATGTACTGCTGGTGAAGAATGTTGATGTTAGAGACTGTTACGGTTTGAATGCATCTCCCAAAGTTCATGTGTTAGACAGTTAATTCCCAATGCAATAGTGCTGAGAGGTGGGAGTGGGCCCTTTAAGAAGTAATTAGGTCATAATGTTCCTATAATGGGAGTGGGTTTACTATCACGAAATTGGATTTGTTAAAAAGCAAGTTGGGTGCCTCTTGCTCTCTCCTTTTGTTATACATATGCTCTTTTGCCCTTCCAAATTTTTCCATGCGATGATGAGCAAAATGACCCTCGTCAGGTGTGTCTCTCAGTCTTGGACTTTCCAGCCTCCAGAACCATGAGCCAATAAATTTGTTTATTATAAATTACCTAGTCTCAGATATTCTGTAATAGCAGCACAAAACAGACTAAGACAAAGTTTATGTATGTGTGGCAACAAGGAGAAAATAAAGAAAACTGCCTTTTTCTCAATTTTGCTGTGATCCCAAAATGGCTCTAAAAATATGATCTTTAAACAGAAAAAGAGCAAAAGAAAAAAAGGATATACTAGCAGCAGATCTGACAAGACTATGTAGATTTAAATAGCCATCAAATCAGTGGTGAATTTAAATTTCCCTCCTCTAATATTAGTTTCTTGAACTTAATACAGCCAGAAACACAGAATTGAGCATCTGTCTGCAAAAAAATATAGAAAGCCCCAGGAGAAGCACTATAGGTACGGCCTGAGGGACAGAAAAGCAAACCCCTACCTCAAATAGAGTATGAAAATGTCACATTATTTTTTCTTTCTCTCTTGTCTGCATTCTCATGTACCTCAAACCTCAGGCAATCTGATGAGGGTAGTGGAAACTACAGCAACAAAAAATATCCAAAACCATGAGAAACGTCAATCTTTTCCATTTAGTAGAGCTGTGGTTCCATGACGGCGAGGACAAATCTTTTCCTTTTTTCTTCATCTTCCTCACTGTCCTTCTGCCTCATGAGCTTAAAGATGCAGCTATGATTGCAGAAGTGTATGGTACATCAGAATAAAAGGAGCCCCACATTTCTAACTGGAGGATGGAAAGGAGAAGCCACTGGGATCCTGAAAGTACTGGTCAGATGGTGAAGAGGAAAGAACTTTAGAAAGAGACCCATAAACATTATTTATAAACTCCTGGATTCACCTGTCCCTCAACCTATGCATGCCTAGATATGGTTCTAATTGGCATACTAAAGATCTTAAGACCTGAACTAATGAATAAAGCACTACATAGTTCCCAAATTCAACCCTGGTTGGTGCACAGGAAAGACATATCTGAATAGTACTACAAAGGTTTTCAAAATGGAACTGATAATGGAACCAGATCCCAGATTGTCTTTATCCCATCAGGGTGATTGCTTGCTAAAACAGTAGTGTCAATACATTCCAAAATTTAAATAAGATCCCGTCTAACTAAATATTTATTCAAAATGCTCAAATTACAATCCGAAATTACACAGCATATGAAGAACCATGAAAATGTCAACTTGCATGGGGCAAGACAGCACAAGCCAAGGAGGATATTGGAACAGAGACATTGGAACTATCTGACAAATACTTCAAAGTGGTTGGTATAAAATGTTCAAAATACCCAATGAATGAAGAAATAATTGATGTCATTTAACAACATTTAGAGTTCATCTGTTTTCCCCCAAGTTATTTTCTCTAAATTAATTACCTTTTAAGTAGAGGGGGAAAAAACTCCAAACTTTTAAGTCCTAAGTTATAAAAGCTTTATTTTCTCTGGCTGTGGCAATGGTCATTTTTTTCACTTACTAAATCATCACACAAATCTTCAAGTAAAGCTTTTTATTTAAAAAAAAGCTTCAAATATACATACTTACATAATGTGTATATGTATTTCTTTTTCCAATGCATCCAATGTAAGATAATTCCATTAGAATGCCCTACTAAGCTTTTACTTCAACCTTTGTTTACTTTTTTGATTTGTAAATGTCCTTTACATACCATTTTCTACCTTTTCTCTCTTATGAGCTTCCATGATAGGTTTTCTACCTAAAGGATAATGATAGTATCTTGTATCTGAGTAACACTGTAGAGTTTGTGTAATTTTTTTAGTGAAATTATTTTTATTTTCAGTCATAAACTTAACCTGATCTCATTGTCTTACATCTTTCTTTCCTTACTTGTTAGGACTGGGAATATAAATATATGCGTATTTTACATAAATTATAAACCAATTTATGGACTCCCACATTCCATCTCTTATCCTGGAAAACTTTTTATTAGTTCAGCCCCTTTCCTGTGTGAGCCCATCATACCACTAGCCTCCCACTCCACCCCACACTCACTCTGTATAGCGCAGCTTCTTACCTGGGTTTGCCAGCAATTTACATGGTACAATGTCTTTCTCCACATTATTACTGTCATTCATTTTGCCTCCAGTTTCCAAGTATGATCTCAACCACAGTCTTTAACTTCTCAACTCCAAGAATGATTCAAAAAGAAAAAGCCTCAATGACTATAAAATGTGTCAGTGTGTAACTGCCACAGTAACTCAAAATGTCAAGCCTTTAAATTAAATAGCTAGACTAGAGGAAAAAAATGAAGCACAAACTGTCAAAAAAAAAAAAATCAGCTCATCACACACAAAAAAACTAGTGTTTGTAAGAATTTAAAAGAAAAAATATTAAAGCTACTTCTCTAATCGTGTTTTGGTCACAAGAGAAAATAATCCTTGATAACTTTAAATTATTTTATTATTAAAAACTATAATTTTATTATATGGGGCACAAAGCAATGTTATGATAGAAAATAGAATTTATTGAATGGAAAAGTTGGCTCTCAGAGGAAATGAATGTTAGGTAAGTAAAGACAACAGCAATTTTAATATCAAATTAAAATTTATTCCCAAGAGTTTACACTCATTTGAAAAATACCTTGCTTTCAAAAGAGCTACCCACCTTGTCTTCCTCTAGTATCTGAAAGACTCAGAGTGCTTGAGAGTGTTTTTTATCATTGAAATATCACATATATAGAGAAAAGTGTTATAAAAACACAGGAAATAGGAAATTAACTGAGTCCGGGAGTTAAGAAAATGCCCCTGTAGTAGAGTGATGATTAAGCCAAGATTGTGGTGCGCAGACCCAACTCCCTCCATAGTTGCCTTGCTTTCCCTCCCCACCCTCCTCACTCAGCAGTGGCTCCTTTCTCCAACGATGATTCAAAGAAAAAACTTGGTCCTCAGCACTGAAAATTAGAGATTTGTGGCAGTCCAATCACGAGTATAGCCATAATCCCAACTAAGCAGAAATTTGCAAGATATTTTGGGAAGTTGCTGCTATGGCTGCTACAACAGAGTTTTTTAAATGGGCCTGAAGGGTATGCAGCTTCTGTGCTCTCTCTGGAATAATCCAGGAGCACAGAGGCTCTTTAGCAGTAGCAGCTTCTTGTCAGATGTGTTAATTTCTTGTATATAAATACCTGTAAGGGCACTTTTTACTAAAATATAATTTATAGTACCTTGCACAAATCATAAGCTTTTATTAAAAATGTAATGTAGAATCCCAGCACTCTGGGGGGCTGAGGTGAGTGGATCATGAGGTCAGGTATTTGAGACCATTCTGGCCAATACAGTGAAATCTTGTCTCTATTAAAAACACAAAAACTAGCCAGGCGTGGTCGCAAGCACCTGAATCCCAGCTACATGGGAGGCTGAGACAGGAGAATCTGTTGAACCGGGGAGGTGAAGGTTGCAGTGAGCTGAGATGGTGCCATTGCACTCCAGCCTGGGTGACAAGAGCAAAACTCCATCTCAAATAAATAAATAAATAAATCACACACAAACACATACACACACACACACACACACACACACACACACACACAACCATGTAACAAGTGCCTAGATGAAGATATAAAGCCATATAAAACGATACACTCTACGTGCCCAGCTCATGTCCTGTAATGCTCATTACCCCAAATATAATCTCTATCTTAACTCTGACACCATAAATTTCTTTTCCCTGTTTTTGAACTCTATACAACAGTCCCTGCTTATCCATGAGAAATAAGTTCCAGATTGGACAACTCTTGCCTTAATCAAATAGAAACAATGTTGAGTTAGGCCTGAATTTCAGTTTCTGTAAGATTCTATATATCTCTTTCTTTACTATTTCATTTCTAGTTTGTCCTAGCATGTATGATAAAGCCTTCTAGTAATTCCATCTGAGAACCTGTTTTTTGTTTGTTTGTTTGTTTGTTTGTGTTTGTTTTTAATTTATACAGATGAGGTTTCTCCATGATGGTCAGGCTGGTCTTGAACTCCCGACCTCAGGTGATCCACCTGCCTTGGCATCCCAAAGTGCTGGGATTACAGGCGTGAACCACGGCACCCGGCCGAGAACCTGTTTTTTATTAAAGCTGCTTCTCTTTGTTGGAACCCGAATTTGATTTTATTTCCTGAACAATGTGTGATTGCTAAAAATTGAAGTCTGTTTTTCACATATTCTCTAACCTCTTTTCCTGTGAAATTTAATAATTTGGAACATAGTTTGAGAGCAAAATTCTTCTGATTTCTTTGGCCCTCTCTCCTCTTTGGGATTTTGGCCCTTTAAGTACTTAGGAAGAGATTTTTCTCTCTCCCCCCCAAAAAATACGTGATAACTAAAGCCCTCTGCCCAGAATCTCAGCATCTGACCCACTGCCAACATACCCATAAAAGAAGAGTGGCTCCTGGAATGCTGACTCGCTTCTCCGTGGCTCCTTCCCATAATCTTTGCTCCCCTTCCAGTTGCCTTGAACATTCTCCAGTACCTTAAAGGAGTCCCTTTTCTTTAAATCTAGCTCTTCTAGTTGTTCTCAGCATGAGTTTAATGTCTCTCCAGTTATATTATCATACACAGAAGTGGATATGAACTGCCAGGCTTATTGTTTTCACATCCTTTTATGATTTTATTTTTAGCTTAAAGGGGACAAAAGATAAACCTTGATAGATTTCACATTATCTTGGAATTTCCACACTAATCTTGGACTTCCCAGCAAAACTAAAGATATTACTTTTACTATTACTGTCCTGGCATAACAACATAAAACTGCAGCCTATTACTGCTTACTATGCTCCAGACACATTAATATGAGATTTAAATATGTGTTCTTATTTAATTGGCATAACTAACTAATGAGGCTGACATAATTTTTATTTTTCAGATGAGCTTTTAGGTGAGGGACTAACTAACATGACTAAGTTCACAGTAAGCGATAGAACCCATGATTGAAAGATCTGACATAAAAACTACTTTAAATATAAAGATCAAATATCAAGTGGCATGGTATTTCTGTGTTAGTCACATCGTTTAGTCATATCAATCTCTTGGTTTCTACATTGCTGTAAGTTTCTCCTTCTGTGGAAACTAAACTGAAAGTAAGATCATGGAGTTCTAAAGATGCACGTAATCATTTACCCTTTGACAAATATTTACAAATTCAGTAACTTTCAGCCAGCATGCCAGGTGGACTCTTAGTGTACAGTAATGTCCCTTCCTTTAAGGAACTTAATAAAAAACTGAAAAATAAGTAGGTATGCATGACTTATTGTAACAAGCTGTGAAGGGCAGTAGAATAATTTATTAGGAGAGCAGCTAATGAGGGTACTTAACCCAGAAGAAGTTTTCCCAAGAAAGTACCTACAATCAAATTTACCACCTGAAAAATCAGCTAGAGTTAGCTAAATAAAGTGAGGCATTTAGGCCAGCCATGTCAGCTCACACCTGTAATCTCAGCACTTTGGGAGGCCAAGGTGGATGGACCACCTTAGGTTAGGAGTTCAAGATCCACCTGACCAAAATGGTGAAAAGCTATCTCTACTAAAAATACAAAAATTAGCTCAGCATGATGGCATGCACCTGTAGTTTCAGCTACTCAGGAGGCTGAGGCAGGAGAATTGCTTGAACCTTAGAGGCAAAGGTTGCAGTGAGCCAAGATCATACACCCTGGGCAGCAGAGTGAGACTGTCTTAAAATATATAATAAATGTTTTTAAAAAATAAAGGGAGGCATTTGAGGTGAAGGAAAAAGTCTTCCAGTTGAAGGAAGTCTTCCAGTTTCTTCAGTTAGGCCCAGAGAGAAAAGAATATACAGCAGAGTTGGGAAAACACCTAAAATTTGAGATGGCTGGAGCACAAATTATGAAAGGAGAAATGTGACAAAATATCTCTCCAGTTATCACAAAAGCTTTATATTAAACTATGTGAATCTCATGACTTCTAAGCCATATCATTGTGCTTACTTTCTTACGCAACCTTGTGTTAAATAGCTGATACCATATATAAGATACAGTGATGTGTATTTACATGATCCCTAGAGAGTTGCAGTGTGAGGAAAAGAAGCACACATATAGAATAATCTTAATTTCATTTGGAAAATAAATTTGTTTCTTTTTTTCAACATATAATTTTTTTAGTTGAGTCTATATTAGGAGGCAGAAACTGGTGACTAATTGACTGGATATAATAGGAAAGAAAAAAGCCCCTTCAAGTTACCCATTACTCCTCAATAGATGGGAATGTCTCAACTGAGTAGTATAAAAGCAATATATTATCAGATTTTGCTTTATTGGAACAGCTACTGATGAAAAGTTACAAGAAAGAACAAAAGTTTATAAAATTATTTATTCTCAATGACCTGTATCCCACTTTTCTTGGGTTTTTCTGTTTGTGACAGCATGATGGATAGTAACGATATTGAATAAGTGAGGGATATAAAAGGCAATGTATTATGATGTAAAAGAACATAGCCTTTGGGGCAATGCAAGCCCAATTCAAATATGACTTTTGCAGCCTGATAGGTGTTTAACTTTAAATGTATGTGGAAAGCAGAATAATGACCCCCTAAAGACATTAATAGCCCAATTCACAAAACCTTCAGGTAAAATGTTATTTTATATGGCAAAAGGCATTTTACAGATATGGTTAGGGGTCTGAAGACAGAGGGATTGTCTTGGATAATCCATGTGGGCCTAATCTAATCACATGGGTCTTTATTCAGGGAAGACGGGAATGTCACTGTCAGAGATTTGAAGATGCCATGCTGCTGGCTTTAAAGATGTAGCAAGGGACCACAAGCTAAGGAATGGAGGTGGCCTCTAGAAGCTGAAAGAAAGCAAGGAAACAGCTTCTTCCCTAGAGTCTCCAAAAGAAATATAATCCTATCAGCGGCATCCTAACTAGCCATTTTGAACCCTCTCATCTCTAGACAGTAAGATAATTTGTGTGTTTTTTTCTTCTATCTATGTTTTTTCTTTTTTTATTTTACTTTGAGCTCTGGGGTACATATGCACATCCTGCATCCTGCAGGATTGTTTCGTAGGTACACACATGCCATGATGGTTTGCTGTCTCCATCCTCCTGCCCCCCGCCCCATCTCCTACATCAGGCAT